AAGGAATTATTTCGTTACTTTTTAGTGTACTGTTTTTTTGAGAATATTTTGTTTTTGGTGTATTTTGTTTTGTTTTTAGTGCATTTTTGTAGAAGTTAGTTAGAGTGAAGTTAGTGAACGCCCTCTGCCCCACTTTGGGGACATAGGAATAGAAGAGAGAGATAGTGAAGTAAAATTGTTAAATATGAATGCTTATGTTTTATAGTAAGCAAATGTTTTACGCAAATTAAAAATTTACTAGTTTCAGTGTAAAATGTGCTATAAAAATGTAGTATCCTAAAGTTTACAGTACTTAAAATATCCGATAGAAAGCTTGCATTGACTTGGTTTTTCTATTTCTCTAAAAAAACAGACATAAAACAATGTGTTATTAGTTCAAAGCCTACACTAATCGCCCACTAAGTTATTGCTTAGTAACCTAAACATATATATGTCAAATCTTTTCGCAACACCCAAGGCAAACGCGTTACAATAAGGTAATAAAGTTACGTAACTTGATGTCCGTTTAGATTTACATGTTATCGCTAATACGTCCCAAATGTCCGTGTAACTATTTGTACAGCCAACTTATGGCCGGTTTCCTAGCTACATTTAACGTTAGATAACTCCATGAAATGCGTTTCCTATACGTAACTTGAGTTTCACGTTGTAACTCAAGTTAACCTAGAACTAATGAATTAGGTAATGACAAAATATACGGGAACTTCAGAAACCTACTATTAATGTTATACGGCTGTATACTGAAATAATCTGTACACTTCGCTTCGTAAACGACGCTTGCAATCTGTACTAACATCCATTCAACTAAACTTTATATTAGTAAGATGGTTTCTAAGACTCTTATTACGGGAAACATAATGAATCTTACTTTACTAATATTAAAAAAGCGAAAGTTAAGAAGGATATTAGAGTTTGTAGCCTAAACGGATCTCGATGACTGTTTTTTTTATAAACTGGCAAACGAGCAAGCGGCCACCTGAAACCACCGAAATGGCGAAGCGACCGCTGCCCATAGACATCCGCAAATGGAAATGCGTTGCCAACCCGTAATCGACGGAGGAGGAGACGCACATAAAGAGGATATTTCCCGTTCCTATACGTTTCCTCCACCGTCAAATCCTTTTCCTTCCCATCCTCACCTCTTAAGAAAAGGGTGGAAAGGGAAAGGAATTAAATTTAGGACTCCGGCATATCATAGACGTTGAGGACAGACTGGAAGAATACATATGTAGGCTAGGCTACTCACTTCTCCTTTCTTTAATTCCAACCGGACGGAAACACGAGCGAACGCTAGAATAATCATAAAAATATAACAGAAGTAAAACGACAATTTTCTCTACTTATATATTTATTAAACTTGATTCTTTTATAATTTAAAAACAAAATTTGATAATACGATATTTTAAAATAATTTAACATTTCATCGAATTTAATTGAATACAGTAGTTAAATAAATTTATTTTATAAGACTTTAATATATAATGTTTATAAGATAGGGTTTTCTTTACCATGATTGGGTTATTTTCTTTTTCACACTTCCCCATCACTTCAAACAGCGCATGAACATGGCGCATGTCGCGCGCATGAAGTGCCCAAATTACGAGAGCTAAAATAACCCAATAGTGGTAAGAAACCCATATCTTACGAACACAAATATAAAAACCACGACAGTTTAGTTATATATGACTTTAATATAATTTATATTAATATATAGATTTATAATCTATAGATGAAGAGTGTCAAGACAAACGAGAGTCAATATTCCGAATATCATTTTGTGAATTACTTCACAGAGGAAATTGGTTTCAAAATAGCCTCCAGAAATTATTTCGCTATACTTTTGTTCTCTAGATTAGATATCTATAGATTGCACATCTACGACTATGAATAAAATATTTACTTAAATATAAAAGTATGGCAACTTAACTAAAACTTAATAAATCAAATTTCTCATCTCCTTTGAAGTACATTTAAATATAATAATCTTAAAAACTATGAACTATTAATAATATACTACGAATGTTCACTATTTTTTTTACGTTTTTAATAGAAATTGACTGATTATAATATTAATAATTACCTTCCGATTTCATATATTTAATAGGAATCGAGATATAATTGAAAAATACATTTTTTCATACAAATTATATTTTTTTAATAAGACATTATTAGATTATTATGCTTGATTTTTTTATAGTTTTATTAATTTTGATGTTGTGTAAAAATCTACAGTAAATGGTTAAAACTGTTATTGAAAATATTTTCTCAGATTGGTCTCTTTTAGAACACAGTATTTTTTTTTTAATGAATATGACTATTGATTTTGTTAATAATTGTTATTAAATATTTTTAAATAAAGCTAATTAACCAAAGAAATTTAAATTAAGAATATTGAACATTAATATGTAACTATATTATTATTTTTTAATTTTCTAATGATTAAATTATTAATAATCTCAAGTTGATATACGTTTAATAGAATATTGAATTTAATAACACCAATAATATGGAAAAAATTACGCGTCCCGAAGCGTGTTTTCTTATTTTTTTTTAATTACTAACTTTATTAAAATTATTCTACATTTTTTAATAATTGTCAGAATATAAAGACAAAAACTACTATATTAAAATTTAATAATCTAAATCCTTGAAGGATAAATATACATAAAAAACAATTTTATTAAATTTGAAAAATTGGTCGTGTTTTATTATTCAATTCTACTTGAAGGAAACTTACTTCAAAGTAAGGTAGGTAGCGATATAATTATTTTAAATGCATATATTTTTTTAAACCTGTCGAGGCTCGAAAATTGACAAAACTGTTCATTTGTTTTTTTTTTTGCAAACACGACCAAATTCCTAACATTAAATACTCAATATTTATTTTATATTCATAAAGCATTCTCTATATGGAAGACGATAACATAGTTAACTTTCATATACCAATATAACCTTAAAAATAAACTAAAAATATAGCACATATAGTAAAAATACATGAACGCATCGCAACGCACCCGAAAAAGCCTACAAATCTCAAATTAACTCTACTTAAAAATTAATTAAAAAAACTCTAATAAACATCAAAAATAAAATACGTTTCGAATATATTTGGCACATAATAATAATTGTGCGTTATCCAATGTTACAAGATCTCTAGGTACGTATGATGTCGTTTTTGTTAGAGATCTGAATTAATTGGGTTTAAGCTTTTCCATGCTTGGCTTGTTCCTCGGCTTGCATCTTAGTACGCAATGCTGGCACGTCTTCGGGAATACGAACGATCGTATGGAATTTCTGAAAAAAAAGCATTTAACCATTATTAGTCAAAATCAGTGAATCCGTTCTTGAGATCACTGCCAAGAGACTGACATAAATAAAAAAAAAATTCGTTATCTTTGACGAAAATATTTGATGTTTGTGAAAATGCTTTTGCCACAAAATAAACAGATACTGTAATTACATTAACTATATAGATAATTATTTTACATTTAAAAGATGAAATGGATATTAAAATTGCCTTTCGGTCTAATTAATTCTCCATGAAAATTCCAGATGTACAAACCTCCATCCTGGTGCCGGGGGTAACGCGCCACAGATACACCATGTACCCAGGGATGCACAGCATAGACGACAGCGCAGTGAACCATCCGAACGCGTGCGACCACCACGGGTACTCGTAGTTCATGTACTTTATAGGCGTCCATTGCACCAAGTTGAAGATGAACACGCTCTACGACATTTATATTATACTTAGTAATATATCCTTAAGTCATATAGTCTACATCAGGCCAGGCCATTTAGTCAACTACAGAGACCTAGGCCCAGACAGTTGATTGACATCTTTGAATTTCTTAACTCATTCTTTCTTTCTCCTTGATTTTACTAACATACCTAAAGTTCTTCATATCTTTAGATTGTTGTCCATACTATCCCCTTCTAAGTTCACTTCTCCTACCCATCTTTTGCAATGAATAATGACCTTAGTAGAAGTTAGACTAAAATAAGATAATCTCATACTAACAACATAAAATGTCATTTTAATAGAATAGGTACTCACAATGCAGATAGCCGGAGTGAAGCCGACCCAGCAGAACTTCCACCAGATAGTCGGGTAGTAGCCGATCATCTCTTTGATACCGTCATAGAAGCGATTGACTCCGAACGCCCACGAGATAGACACGCACTCGAAGAAGATCAAGAACAACAAACAGAAGCCAGATACAGCATACGAGTCGAGGATTTGGAAGACGTACATACCACCCTGGAAGAAAAGAAAAATACTATTATTATAAACTTGAAAACTGTATTAGAAATAAAACTCTTGCAATATTGATATTCAAAATGTATTAACAATTTTGAAACGGATAAAATTGGCCACGAACATAAATTGTAACTACATATATCTTTAACAAGATCGATTCAATTTAAAATGAACTTTACGATCATTAACCATTACTTAGTAACTAATGAATTGTGATAAAATGTGACTAAAGCGGACTCACCTCAGAAATACAAGACAGTCCAACCAAATATGAGATAACGCAAGTAATCGCGATGAATATTTCCTTACGCCTCCTGAGGAGTTTGGGCCACTCGTCGATGACAGCGGTGATGAAACCTTCCATGGTGCAGAACTGACTATCCAAGCCGATAAGGAGGAGCATAAAGAAGAACAAACAAGACCATAACGGTGCTCCGGGCAGCTGGAGAACTGCTGATGGGTAAGCCAGGAACGCCAGACCAGGACCTGTAATTAAGATTGTTGGTACAGTAAGGAAAGCTGGCAGTGTTAATTTAAAAGCTATAGTCATTTGCGCGTTTTATATAACCAATAGCACGTAATTCATTGTGGATGTTTGAAAATCGATGTCGTATCGTTTATTTGTAAGAAGAGGAAGAATTTCCTTTGTTGCAAAGAGCAAGGCAATTGTTCTGTCAAAACACTGCGAATTTTCGCGACTGTACAATATTTGCTCTGCACCGTGTTTCCAGGGAATATTGTTGTTGACTATGGCCTAGTCACCCCTTATTAGGGTAGGCTCCGAGCCCCTCGGTGGGGACGTATAGTGAGCTGGCGATGATGATATTTCCAGGGCTTTCTTAGATTCTACAGCTATTAAACAAAATTACCTGATGCTGCAACCTCCTCCACTGGCCTCTGCTGCTCGTGCGCCATAAATCCTACCACTGAGAATATCACGAAACCAGCGAACATTGACGTACTGGAGTTCACGGAGCAGACTATTAAAGCATCCCTGAGAACAAACAAATCAATTAGAATTCAACAATAACATTATAATCTAACCAAGAAAAAAATACCCTAAGGAGCGCCTCAATTATTTTACAACGTCACTTATGGAAACAGCAATATGGAAAAGTCTTGTAACATGTAGATTAGAAGAGACTTCAAGATAGAAAGTATTTGGTCCTACAATCTAAAAAACGTTTTTTAAGTAGTTATTTAGTTAATAAAGTTACTTACTTGTAAACATTGTTAGTAAACTTATTGTAGCTGCCTAAAGCGACCAATGTTCCCAGCCCGAGGCCGTAAGAGAAGAAAATTTGCGTCACCGCATCGATCCATACTTCCGATTCGAGAAGTTTCGACATGTTCGGCATTATGTAGAACTTTATACCTTCCATTGCTCCGGGTAAAGTGATTCCTGAAAACAGACGAAAAATCTTTAAACATAACAATAAATTTTAATTAGTTATATTTCCAATTATATGCAAATATACTTCTTTGTATTTAAAATTAAAATTCTACTGTATATTAAAATTAGTTATATAGATTGTTAATACCTCTGGTTCATTCTGAATTTATTTTATACTGCACTAAACTTACCTCTGATCAACAGCACGGTTAGTAAAAAGTACGGGAACAGTGCTGTGAAGTAGACAACCTTGCCGGTCCAGCGCACGCCCTTCCAAATGCAAAAGTAGCACAGGATCCAAACCAATAGCAACGTGCCCGCCAGCTCCCAGCGGATGTTACCAATGTTCTCGATGCCGCTGGAGATCTGCAGAGCTCGACGTCTGCCATAGATAGACAATTTGGTGACCCACATGTCTTATTAGGGTAAATAGGCTTAAGCCCCCGATGCATTAAGCCCCTCTGTTTTCGTAGAGGTTAACATCTGTACTTTGTTTACCTATCTACTTCTCTATTGTTTTGTATAATCAGGATATAATAATTGGAATTCCTGCTGTTTTCTTTTTTGTATTTTAATTGTACATTAGTAGACTTTGTCAATTGTTTAATAAAGAAACATTTCTATAGGTTAATTTAAATACAAAGCTTTATTTAAGTGCAAAATATGAACACATTAAACACAGCAGTGCCATACTTATTACGTCTTAACGTTATAGAACCTCTATAATAGTCAAGTTGAAAGCTGCACAATAGCATATCGATTTTCTGTCTCAGCAAGTTATTAATGAAAGTGTCACGAGCAACTTCAAGTTAAGTTAAACAGATGTTAATTAAATTTTGCTTTTCTTGCTTCGGTTACTTTGATTAATCATTTAGGGGAGAAAATAATTAACGAGTATAATAGAAATATATACAAAATGCCTTACAGTGTACCTTTTTCTTTGATTTGAAAAAAAAATGTGTCTTTAGATTCCAAAAGTAAATAATAATGTTTGAACTACGCAAAAAATTAAGTTTAACATAAACTTACTCCCAAAATTCTTTAACAGGGTCAGAAAGGAGAGCCTTGCTGACATTCTTCCCATTGAGGGTGCAGAGAGTGGTCATATCGAAGTTGGACCAGCAGGTGAGGTTCTTCCTGTCGTAGGGGTTCACACAGGTGACTGTATTCCAATAGTTATCACAAGTCCGCCATGGCACGTCTAAGAATAAAAGAAATAGACTTATTGGATGAGTTTTCAACACCATCTGTTGTAAGAAATCTCAAAACGTGGTAAAACAAGAATGTGTTAAGACTGAATGTGGATGGCTACAAAGGTAGTGGAAGACCGAAGAAAGTATGGATGGATTGTGTGAAAGAGGATATGCTTAAGAAGGGAGTGGATTCAGATATGACGGTTGACACAAATGTATGGAAGAGCAGCAGAAAACTGCTACTAGAAAAAACTATTACCTGCTCTCATCGACATGAAGAAGTAGAAGATAGCCCAGGCCAGGATCACGATGTAATAGACGTTCATCCAGCACGACATCACTGCAGCCGCGTATCCAATACCTGGTTTTATAGAATGGTGAAGAAAACTTAAAAGGCAATGAGTAAGCGACATTAACAATCGTGATCACTTAAATAAGATTCAAAATGAAATGAATACAGTCTTAAAGTAACATTTCTAAGAGAATCCTTTGATGAAATAATACAAATTCCTATGTCGAAAATCTCTTTGACGATTCTATTCTCTTTGTATAAATTCCTTGCAATTATTAAGAGAATTTAAGTAATTAGTAAAAGCAGTTTAATTTTATTTCATCGTCTTTACTTCAACGATTGTTCGCTACGTATAAATTTTACTTTTAGATAAACATTTCGTTAGCAGTACGTATCGATTATCGAATTTCTGTTACGCGCTCTACCTCGAGTTCTTCAAGATAATGTTATGATCTCTCGTATTATGGACCTTTCACTTAAAAGCACTTTTTACGACCAAAAATCATTTTTCAATAAGTTTGAATATGAAGATAGTCAACAACATAGACTATACTTTTGAGTTCTACACTTTCTCATTATAATTTTAATATTGTCAATGTTTGTTAGAGTTTATAGCCTAAACTGTTGAACGGACCTTGATGAAATTCGTCACAAATGTAGAGTATAGTCTGGAAGATAGACTTAGTTCTCTTTTAATTCCTCGCAGACGAATTCGCGGTCAACCTAGTCTATACTTAATATTAGAAAGATTTCTATTTTTGTACGTATTGAAATACATCAAAAAGTACTGAATCGATTACAAAAAATCTTTCACCATAAAAAAGCAACGTTATCAGTAATTGACATATACATTTATTATGTTTTAATTTTACGCAGACAAACTAACAACGAATAGTATTATTTAGAACGATTTAAGCAACTTACCTTTGAAAATTGGTGCAATCTTGAAGACTCCTAATCCTCCGATCGTGAGCATCTGTCCCATAGCCAGCTCCATAAAGAACATCGGTATACCAGCGAGGAAGAGGGTGAGGAAGTAAGGAATGAGGAAAGCACCACCACCGTTCTTATAACAGAGGTACGGGAAACGCCAAACATTGCCAAGGCCGATCGCCAAACCGATGACGGAAAGAATAAAGTCCAATTTACTGGCCCATGATCCTCTCTCGGGGAGATCTGATTTGGTAGCCATTTCACTGTTGAAAATGTACAATATTATTAACAAGACATTTAAAAAAAGAGTATAAGGTGGCCAACAAGCCATCGGCTACCTGAATTCGCTGAAATAGCGAACCCACTGCAGCCCAATGAAGTTAGTAAAAACAGATGCATTGTCTTTAACTGACGGAGACGCACAGAGAGGGGACATAATTTGTTTCAGGAATTCCATGGAGTAAGTTAATTTTAGTTATATTTAAAAACACTTTAAATTATACAAATCATACCTAGGTTTACTAGTCCCCTGCACAGTTAATTCTATTTCATCACCGCGTGACTCATTCTTCGTCTCCATCTCTACTTCTTTTCTTTTCTTAACTCTCCAAAACTTTTCCGTATTTACAATCTCTTTCTCTCAAGTTTCTCTGTACTCAGTACTAGTTCTCTATCTCAATTCTTCTTATTAGAAAAGTAAGTTAACATGTTTAGCTTACAAAAGTCTAATTTTGTTTCTATGTGAATCTGTAATAGAGAAAACGCTGTTGAAACAAAAGCAATTTTTTTTATAACATAAGGTGGCAAACGAGCAAGCGGCCACTAGAATCCGCCAAAATGGCGAGGCGACCGCTGCCTATAGACATCCGCAATTGCAGATGTTTGCCTACCCTTATACGACGGAGGAGGAGACGCACATAAAGAGGACATTTCCCCTTCCTAGGCATCTCCTCCACCGTCAAATCCACTTCCCCTTCCCATCCTTTCCTCTTAAGAAAGGGGTGGGAAGGGAAAGGGACTAAAATCAGGGCTCCGGCACCACACTCATCAGACGAAACGCGGAATCGCTTCCACTTCACGCCTGTTTTCTGTGTGGTCGTGGTATTACACCGGGCGAGCCGACCCTGCAGTGCTAAGATGTTAAAGCGGGCACTACCACTGTTTAAAATGCAAATGAGTAAACTATTACATCTTAGCAGTAAACTGGGTATTGTTCTAATCATACTTCATAATAATATCATACTAATATAAACGCGAAAGTTTAGATGGATGTTTGTTAGAGTTTGTGGCCTAAACGGCTTAACGGATTTCAATAAAATTTGTCATAGATGTAGACTGAGTCGCGGGCGAAAGCTAGTATTAGATATTTTACATTGTGATAATAACATATAATTAACAACGGTAATTATTTAATAACTTAGTAAAAACTTCAAATCCGTTCAAAAACTTCAAATTTCACTGTTTGAACAACCAACGTCTTTTAAAATTTCATAATCTGTGTTTGTTGTAAAAAAAAAAATATAAATCTAATTAACAAAATGTTGAAGTTGATCAATGAACACCAAATATAAATTTGCCAATGTTACACGACATAAAAACTACACCAAAAACCTATAAATCGAAATTAGATATTCTGAACATAGTATGAGAATTCCAATTTATTTCTTGAGACAGGTGTATTTTATGGAGAGGTATTTCACGACATCGCTATCTCTCTCTAACACGTCTTAAGTCCAAATAAAAGACCGTAAATATCTAATCTAAATAACTCAAGACTGACAGATGTTAGGATAATAAATTATAACCAAATACAAGTACCAGTAGAGTAATAATAAAAGTAGTGTTTGTTCGTGTATATCTCGAAAACAAGTGAACCGATCTGAATAATTCCTACTGCATTAAATATATCAATTACTAAGCATGGTTTTGGGCTACTTAACATCAAGGTAGCACCTACAGGAGCTAAGTAAAAAGTAAAAAAACAATAAACATCCTTAAATATCAAGCAAACGGATTTACAAAGAATATTAAATGAAATCTATAAATAAAATAAACTGCAAGAAATGGCCATAGACTATTTTAGATCGCTAAATAACAGGTCAGCTTGTTATCTTGTTTGCAGAATAACTAATAAGTGACCGATGTCACGACAATATGATGATGGATGTGCAAACTGAATGAATGAATACTTGAAATAAGAACGAGAAACAAACAAGGACTAACATTAATTAACCTACGTAGTTACCGTTCTTGCAAAAGCTTTTATATTAACTTAACTATATGTAATTAAGTTACACCCACATGAGTTTAAGAAGAAATGTACTCACTGTGGTATGCTTTTTAAACTTTAGACAACTCTGAAAACCTCGTGTCAGAAAATACAATAAAGTAGTAATGATTCGACTGTAACTGAACTGGAGATTATTTATTCGGTAATTGTTTTACGGATATAAAGTAAATCTTAGTAATCTTTATAAAGAGTGTGCACACCTTTTTCTAAACTATCGCACAACTGTTTAGTCTCGCTTTGATTCCTATAAGCTTATATGGGTGTGCTCACACTACTCGATTTTTACTTGTGCAACTAAACAGTTGAATTGGCTGCGAAATAATCGACAATCGCACAACAGTAGTTTAGTCAAAGGTTTGTGCCCGCTCTTATTCTATAAAAATATAGTTTTGTATCATATCGTTTGAAAAATAAATTAAAAAAAACACTTACTAAAAGAACAAAACACAATCACACACACTAGAATTTAAAGCACAGTACACACAGAATCCATTGTCACAGACACTACAAAACGTTACTGCTTGAAACGAAACGTTGAATCCCGAACGAAACTACAAACGTCAAACGCGAGGGCAATATGGCGGCGACTTTGACAGCTTGGTTAGCGTGCGCTCGCGCCACATGCTTGGACGTGAATGTGATAGTAAGGATCATGGCACCTAGACCTGACACAGGATGAAATACATGTGAATCGACCAACTGTCAGACGTAGAAAGAATTTATGAGCTTATGAACGGTTAGTTGATGGACAATTTGGACCCTCCGGAAGGCGCGCTGGGGATCGATTGCGGGGCAACGCATATGATTTGCCTGGTTGACATTGTTACGTTGTATACCTATACTCTATCTATATTTTAGTACAAACACACTACGACACTGAAATACAAGTCTAGTTTTAATAAATTTCAAATCTTAAAGTATCAATCATGCCAAACAACATAACATATAAGTCCTAACATTGGATACAAATGAAACTTACATTAAGGGGGCCTCACTACATTAATCTCGTCTAGGCAATTCCTACACCTTGTTACATCTAGCCCAAATAGTGTGGACGAATCGTGGACCATCTCGAATACTCAAAAACTTTATAACCAAAGGAGGGTAGACAGAAGATGTAAGATTTAAATACATCACAACATCCACTCTTAAAACTTAATCCACGAGTTGTGACCAGACATTGCATATGAAAGTAAAATAATTACAAAAGCAACTAAAAGCATTAAATACGCTGATTTTAAACATTTCTACAATATTCTAAGTACAACAATGTATGCTTAGTTTACTTTAAAATTAACTTTTAAGTGCGTAGCTTTAACAAGATGACTTACTTTCCCGCCACTGCGTCGTTAGTTTATGACGTGCTCTCACCAGCCCATCCCGCGGGAGACAAAGGACAATTCCAAGAGGTAAAAGGACTCCTTTCGCGCATGCGTCGTCATGCCTCCAACGCTCTTCCCACGAAATTCACAGCCACCCTGAAACTACGTATATCGTACGGTACATTGCACGAGTATATTGCATTCACCTTTTAAGGGTGTGCCTACAATAACCACATTAAAATAATTGATACCATTTTTCAATCATTCTCGCAAAAGAATCTATAGTTCTTTTAGTTTGCGGAAGTCTATTGTTACTTCTCGCTGCTAATTTGCTCTTTAATAAAAAACTATAATGTCCGTGGACCACGGATCGTGGACTTCGTAGAAGATGCTAATACACCTCTTCTACTTTGATACTTGCTCTTTGGTTTCGGTCTCAGTACTACTGTTATGTAGAATATAGCTATCTCTATTTTTTCAAAGATAATGAAAGGGATGACATAAATTTCTAGTTAATTTTGTATTTTATATTAACAGCAGTGGTTTTGAACAGAACTTTCTAAACGTTCCCGATACAAAATCGACGTTTATAATATTCAGAACTTCTCTATACTAATATAATAAAGAGGAAAGATTTGTATTTTTGTATGTATTTGATTCACATGAAAATTACTGGGTCGATTTTTTAATAATGAAGTAAATGGAAATTTTAATTAGATTTTGACCATTTAGTGTCATTTTTTTATTAGATGCTGCATTGTTCTATAAAAAAAATAGTTACATCAATTTTACGTTTCATGGCTGCCCCTAATCATTTCCCGCCAAAAATCTACATTCCAACCTCACAAATATCTCGCATAGTACAGGGATAGCTTTAATCTTCTAAAACAATTTGAACCGTAACTTCATACAATAAGATTTATTTTGCTATATCACCAACGTTTATTCACTTGGAATGAAATGTTTTAAATTAAAATTTTAATCTTTGTTCTGTACTTGGCTTTTGTTTTAGTTTTTGTTAAGTCCTACTAAAAATAATGACTCACATTTTTCATTAAGATCGCAATGTAAATGATCATGTTACGCATTTTAAAGAAAAAATTACACCAATTAATTCAAAAGCATAATACGATAGACTATCGAAATCTATCTTTATTAATCAATAATTACAATATTCATCAAATTCTTAAAAAAAATAAACATTAGAAAAAAGCAAAATTGTAATATACGATGATTTACATTGGGATTATTAACTTTTGTTAGATATAAGTACCTAATTAGAGAACTATCATATTAAAAAAAACATTTTTGAATACGTATGAAAGTTAGAATTACATTTATCAAAAACATTTATAACCTCTATCCATTATCTATACTAATATAATAAAGACAAAGATTTGTATTTTTGTATTTATTGAAATAACTCGAAAACTACTAAACTGATTTTATAAATTACGAACTGTTGCCCGCGACTTCGTCCGCGTGGTATTAGAAAACATTCAAACTATATAAATTACAAAAAGTTACGTATCCCTCGGGAACCGGACATTTCTCGGGGATGAAGCTTATCCCATGTGTACTCCAGACTTTGTTTTATATCTGTGCCAAATTTCAATAAGATATGTTGAACTGTTGCAGAATGATCGAGTAAACATTAAAAATTAAACTAATGAATCCCACGGGAACCGTAACTATTCCCGGAATAAAAAGTAGCCTATGTGTTCTTCCAGACTATGCTCTAAACCTGTGCCAAATTTCATAGAGATCCGTTCAGCCGTTTAGGCTACAAACGTTAACAAACATCCATCCATCTAAACTATCGCATTTATAATATTAGTAAGATTTCACCGTTGGAAAGGTAATTTATTTATAAGTAACATAGGCTATTTTTTAATTTCACGCATGCGAAGTCGCGAGCAACAGCTAGTTTCTTATAAAACTTCCCAGTAACTAGGTCGATTGCATAAAGAAGTAGGTCTATGGGTCGATAAGTCGAACTTGAAAATTTCATTCCCGAGGGATGCTGTCAAAACTCGCATAAACTTTGACGTAATACAACGTTACATTTAGAATCGAATGTTAATGCAATATTCTTATCGTTTAATATCGCAAGTTGTAACGAATATTTTAGTTTATTTTGTGAAACACCTTTTCTTAAGAGGAAAGGATGGGAAGGAAAAGTGTTTTGACGCATAGGAAATGTCCTCTTTATGTGCGTCTCCTCCGTCAATAAAGGGTAGGCAACGCATAAAAATAATAAAAAGCGTAGCCTATGTTAGTCACTGACAACATAGCTTTTTAAAAGAATTTTTAAAATCGGCCTAGTAGTTTTTGAGCTATAACAATACACACAAAAAAAGAAATCTCTCCTCTTTATAATATTAGTAAACATATAGGTAGACAACGCATTTAAATTTTCATAACTTCTGTAGTCTATAGGCAGCTGTTATTTTGTGAAATTAGATAACTTACTAGACCAAATTACAATACAGGAATCGTTCCTAAATTATTGTTTAGATTTCTTAAGGTAGCCGAGGTTTCGACGCATGGCAGTACCAGCTACTATAGTTATAACTTAGGTTAAGTTTTGCTAGTTGGGAATAAAATACAACTTTATCTATGCCACACGCTCAACTTGTATGTAAAGTAATGTAATGTGGGGGGAAGGGGAGGGGCAGGAGGTCCCACGGGAGCGAGGCGCGACATCCGCGGGGAGCGCGCGGACGTACCGAGATCCGGTGAGTACTGTTGTACATGAGATTGACACAATGAGGATATATCATGAGATAATATTCAAACGAACTTTATGGTAAGATTTTTATATTGAAGGAAACAACGGTTCATTGGCCATTGGTGAACAACAAAAAGTTGCAGATGTCGACATTATATTGGAACAGTAAAAAGTTGAAGACAGACTAACAGCCAAGAATAAATAACTGCTGTAGGTTGAACTTATATTACTAAATACTTGAGACAGCTAAGTTGCCGGTGACCAGTTTACCGTCTCTGGTATTGCTTTAGAAAAAGACCTTAGGGTGCTTCAGGTCCGTGACAGTGACCGAAAACCGATTTAGTACAATGCACCATCCTACCTAACTAGGTACCTATGATAAATTTCTTTAAATTTTCCAAGTCCTTGTTAGTTTTCACTCAATTCTACAAAATACTTTGTTAAAAGATACTTTTGGTGTACAGATATGTAAGGACATACAATTTGAAATCTATACTAATGCTATAAAGAGGAAAGATTTGCATGATTGTACTTTTTTATGCATTGAAGTTAATAAAAACTATTGGGACAACTTCGAAAATTCTTTCACCATTCGAAAGGTAATTTATCTGAGTGTATTATAGGCTATACTTTTTATTATTTTATTTCACGCGAACGAAGTTGAATTAAATAAATCTTTAGTTTTATCTTTGGATATTTGATATCGTGTATCCGTGTATCATACATTAGGTCGCACCTAGCGGGGAAGCGATTACTGAACCAGTATCGCTTCCGCTAGTTCCTGTAGGAATTTAGGGCTCCGAGTTGACATATATCTTCATTAACATCGGTCAATGTACCGTCAGAATTTGTTACGTCAAAGGAAGTGACTTTCTAGTACGTGACATTTAACCCTTACTTTGTAAATTGAATTATAAAATGTATAAGTGTGCCCTTTACTGTGTTTTACTAAAGGCAAAAAATAGTGAAAAAATCAAAACAATGTTTTTATATATATTGGAGATATGCTCTCTATGTTTTCTAGCTTGAAGATATCAGTCAAAGGTAAACAGCATAATCTTACTATCTCACTAAGATTATAAATGCGAAAGTTTAGATGGATGGATGTTTGTTAGAGTTTGTAGCCTTAACGGCTGAATGGATGTCGATGAAATTTGGCATAGATGTAGAGGATAGTCTGGAAGAACACATAGGCTACTTTTTTTAATTCCACGTGGACGGAGACGCGGACGAAAGCTATTATTAAAATCGATTGTAGCCCAAAGCGATTTATAACCCCGGTAACTTTGGAACTTCATGTATCTAAGGGTTAAGTAGGCAGGAAAATCTACTAAAGAGAGTTTTTGTAAGTTTTTTCTTTTTCTAGATCTTTTAGTTTAAGAAAAAAACATCGAAATGTCAAAAAGCAGAGGATTTCGATGAAATTTGGTATGGATGTAGAGGATAGTCTGAAAGAACACATAGGCTGCTTTTGTTTTTTTTTTTTAAATCCACGCTTACGGAGTTGCGGGCGAGAGCTTTTATTGAATTGCAAAAATATTTTACGTGATTTATAGAAGACCCTAATTTTAGTTGCTAACAGGTTTTAACTCATTTTATTTCGTAAATATTTCAATGTTTTTTTTTTTAAATTTAGTGTTTTTACACAGGTGTTTTGGATATAACGATAGGTCACTAATTTCTATAAAAATGAAACAACGAAATAGTAATTAAAGTGCTTTTATATTTTCTGAGATTTTGATTTTCTTGTGTAAAATCTTGCATTTTGATCTCTTAAAATCTCTGTTGTAAAGCGTTAAGGTTCATTTCTTGCAACATCCAGATTGGTTCCTTTATGAAATCTGAAATAAATATTAGTTTAAATCAATAAGAACGTATAAAATCATTAAAACTTCCTAATTAATTACAAATTTGATTACAGCGTCATTAATTTAGTGTTTTAGTGACAGCGCCATCTATTGTATGTAAACTGTATTTCATTTTGACATCGCCAAATTTCGAAAACTGTTTTACAATTAGTGTCAGCGCCATCTATTATCTGTGAACTGTATTACAACTTGACATTGCCTGTACGATTTTACATTTAGTTAAGCGCCATCTGTTATCTGTGAACTGTATTACAATTATTGAAATCGCCACAATTCGCAAATTCTGTTACATTAAGTATAGCGCCATCTATTGTCTGTGAACTGATATATTCAGTGTCAGTGCCATCTATTGTCTATGAAGTCATACAATCAGTGTCAACGCTATCTATTGTCTGTGAACTGTTACATTTATGTTCAGCGCCATCTAGTATACATACCTATGCACGTGTCTAAGCAGCGTCCCTCTCTGAGAGTACCGGCGACCACAACGCCCGCACGCGTGTCTTCGTTCGCCATGTGTTTGCTCGTGTACAGTTAAATTGGACCGTTTTACAAACGATTTGTTGCAAATACTGAAAACAAAATATTATAAGTGGTAATTAAATTTAGTAACGCAGTCAAAATGTACTGAAATGTTGAATTGTTACTAATGAACTAGATTTGACTATTCAAAAGTCTATCATACTTATTATGATTCTAATATTATGAATGCGAATGTTTAGATGGATGGATGGATGGGTGAATGTTTGTTAGAGTTTGTAGCCTAAACGGCTGAACCGATTTCGTTGAAATTTGGCATATATGTAGAGGATCGTCTGGAAGAACATATAGGCTACTCACTTTTGTTTTTTTTTTCGAATTCCACGCGAACGGAGTCGCGGGCGACAGCTAGTAATATTATAAATGTGAAAGTTTAGATGGATGGATGTTTGTTAGAGTTTGTAGCCTAAACTGCTGAACGGATTTCGATGAAATTTGGTACAGATGTAGAGGATAGTCTGGAAGAACACATAGGGTACTTAGGTTTGTTTTTAATTTCACGGGGAAGGGGTCGCGAGCTAGTACATATATAAATGTTCGCCACCCCTGGGTCAATAAGTAAAGGGGACAAGAGAAATATAAACTTACCTGCAACCATAAGGTCTAACACCAAGATGCATTCTCTCATGTATTTTTAGGAGGCGGTGCTCTGAGAATACTTTCCCGCAAATATCGCAAAGGAATTTCGACGTTATTCCATGCTCCTTATGGTACAAAATACATTGAATGTAAAATTTAACAATGGGGAAATAAGCAGAAATAAATAGCTTCTATGTAAACTAACGTAAGTCACAATTTTAAAATTTAACATAATTTTTTTTATTCAAGAAACACTGATTTGTGTTAATTTGAAAGTAAAATAAAGAAAATGTAGATTTTGGTGAATTATTAAAAATAAAGCGTTGAAAATAAAATTAACACTTTCACTGCTGGTTGAAAACAAAAATGTATGTTAAGTTTGGATGGATGTATGGATATTACGTCATAACTACAGAATTACTAAACAAATTGAAATCAAAGATAACTTATCTATACTATTATAAATAGGGAAGATTTATGCTTTTGTATATATTTAACATACAAAAATACAAATCTTTCCTATCATATCATACTAATATTATAAACGAGCTGTTGCCCGCGACTTCGTCCGCGTGGTATTAGAAAACATACGAACTATATAAATTACAAAAAGCTACGTATCCCTCGGGAACTGGACATTTCTCTGCGATGAAGCTTATGTCATGTGTACTCCAGACTTTGTTTTATATCTGTGCCAAATTTCAATAAGATATGTTGAACCGTTGCAGAATGTTCGAGTAAACATTAAAAAACTAAATTAATGAATCCCACGGGAACCGTAACTATTCCCGGGATAAAAGGTAGTATCATACTAATATTATAAATGCGAAAGTTTAGATGGATGGATGTTTGTTAGAGTTTGTAGCTTAACAGCTGAACGGATTTCAATGAAATTTGGCATAGACGTAGAGGATAGTCTGGAAGAACAGATAGGGTACTATGTTTATTTTTATTACCACGCGGACGGAGTCGCGGGCGAAAGTTAATTAATAATATTAGTATAGATATCTCGGGCAAAATTAAACTAAATTGAAAGTCAGCAGTGAGAGTGTTATTTGTAAATTAGTTTTTTTTTTACCTTTAAATGTAAAGTAAGGGCTTTTTTAGAACTGCATGGTTTGGAACAATGAACACAGAGAAATTTCTCCGTAACTGAGGATTGTGGGTGAACTGAATGTATATGTACTTTTAAGTATCTGAAAATAAAATGTACATATAAATAAAAAATATACATAATAGCTTTCGCCCGCGACTCCGTCTGCGTAGAATTAAATAACACAAAAATGAGTACCCTATGTGTTCTTCCAGACTATCCTCTACATCTATACCAAATTTCATTGAAATCCGTTCAGCCGTTTAGGCTACCAAATGTAACAAACATCCATCTAAACTTTCACATTTATAATATTAGTATGAAGTATGATGTAAAAATGAATATGCCTGGATTTTCATATTCTTGGTTAAGTCCTACTTCTTACTAATATTATAAATGCGAAAGTTAAGATGGATGGATGTTTGTTAGAGATAGTAACCTAAACTGCTAAACCGATTTCAATGAAATTTAGTACAGATATAGAGTATAGTCTGAAAGCACACATAGGCTACTTATTTTGGTTTTTGTTTCCACGCAGACGAAGTCGCGGACGAAAGCTAGTTATATTCCTTAACTGTATGTCTTTTTATTTCATACCTATCCATATGAAAAGCGACACCACAAATATTACATTTGTAAGGTTTTTCCCCTGTATGTATATTTTGATGCTGTTCATACCAAGTCAGTACTTCAAAACCTTTACCGCATTTATCACATGTATACTGAAAAGAACACATGTTTAATACACGTACAGTTCTGGAATTCGCCAAAACAGCGAAGCGACCACAAAAAACAAAAACATTCAAGTTTTTAGGGCAATTTTTTAAGCAAATCATGGTCATCTATACTATTATAATAAAGCGTAAACACACACTTCCTTGTTGCCTAAGATGTCAGCAATCACAGCATATTTTTGAATAATTCTTTTTTTTAATAAAAAGCCCTACACTTACGTCACGCTTTAGGCTATATTTTCACGCCATTAAACTTAGATGGTATATTTTGGTTAAAAACCCTAATGTGGGAAAGAGACCATAAGTTGCTGCCAACATCAAGGAAGCAAGGTTGCCATGGATTGTCATTATGTCATGTCACTGATAATTTGACAAATGTGAACAATAGAATAAAATTTTCATAATTTTATGCGAATGAAGTCGCAGGGGAACAACTAGTAATAAAACCATTCTGCCATATTACATACAAATGTGAAGCTAACTAGCTTTCACCCCCGACTTAGTCTGCATGGAATAAAAAACAAAAACATCTATGACTTCATCAAGATCAGTTCAGAAGTTTAGGCTACGACCTCTACATAAAAATTTTTGGAATTATATCATTAGTAACTAGCTGTTGCTCCCGACTCCATCCGCGTGGAATTAAAAAAAATGAAAAGTATAACCCATGTTACTGATAAATTACCTTTCTAACAGTGAAAGTAATTGTAAAATGGCCACAGTAGTTTTTGAGTTATTTCAATACATACAAAAATACAAATCTTTCCTCTTTATAATATTATTATAGACTAGCTTTCGCTCGCGACTCCGTCCGCGTGGAATGAAAAAACAAAAGTGAGTAGCCTGTGTGTTCTTCCAGACTATGCTCTCCATCTGTACCAAATTTCATTGAAATCCGTTCGGCTGTTTAGGCTACAAACAAACATCCATCTAAACTTTCGTATTTATAATATTAGTAAGATTAGTTTTGTAAGTTTAAGATGCTTTCTTACCATATATTCTTTATTGTGTCGTCTTTCGTGTTGTTTTAAAGCACCTTTATATGCAGTACTAAAACCACATCGGAACTTGCAAGGGACTTTCACACCATCATGTACTCTCCCATGCCTCACTATTTCCGATGCTATTCTGTATGTTCTACCTGAAAATAAGAAAAAACTTTTTTTTATATAATAAAAGGGGGCAAAGGAGCTGCGAGAACACCGAAGTGGATAGCGACGCCCATGGACATCCGCAACACCAGAGGAACTACAAATAGACACCAGAGGAAATGATAGGCTCGCTTCTTGAAGGACCCTAAGTCGTATTGGTTTGGAAATATCGCCGAGGACAGACCGTTCCACAACGCGGCTGTGCGGGGCAGAAAGTTCCGCGAAAACCGCACGATTGTGGAATGCCAGCCATCGAGATGGTCAGGATGGTACCTGATGGTCTGCCGATTAAGCATTACTTAAGCATTATGATAATTATCTTCAATGTAAAAACATTAAATAAGCCTTACTAATATAATCCAGCTTTCGACCTCAAATCCATCTGCATGAAATGAATAAAACGAAAGGTCTATGTGTTCTTATAGACTATCCTCCACAATGCTAAATTTCATTAATATCCGTTCAACAGTTTGGGTTACAAACTCTAACAAACATCCATCTAAACTTTTCCATTTATAATATTAGTATTATATAGAAATGTAGATGGATGTTTGTTAGAGTTTGTAGCTTAAACAGCTGAACGGATTTCGCTGAATATCATAGACATAGAGGATAGTCTGGAAGAACACACAGACTACTGTTGTTTTTTTAAAGGAGGTACTCAATTCGTCTGTATGTTTTTTTTTTAATACATGCAGACAAAGTCTGTCAAAAGCTAGTCAAGTCATACATACCACATAATTTACATACAAAAGGTCTTTCTTGTATATGACATATCATATGTCTATTTATTTTAACTTTGCTTTCAAATATCTTGTCACATTTCTTGCATTTATATTTAATATTATTGTCTATAGTAACAATTTCATAAACAACATCTTTTTTATCTATTTCTTGTTTTTTATGTTCTATATTATAATGTTTTACTAAATCTGTTTGTGTTTGAAATGTTTTAAAACAAGTTAAACATCGATTTGGATTATTTTCTAATGTTTCTGTTGGTTTTGTTTCTTGTTTCTGAAAATAGAATGGAAAAGTTTGATTGAATTTGATTTAATTTTGCTCAAGCTTAGAACAACATAATAAACATTCTTTCCGAAACATTATGTGTTTTATCTTAATATTTTGAGTATATGAAGCTTCAATGTAGATAAACAGTGATTGAAGATTTTTTTATATGTTACCTTACCTTGTCGTTTTTATTATTTTCATTACATTTCTTAATCAAAGATAAGGAGAGATTATCTTCCAAATCTGAATTGTCTTCAATTTCACTAAATTCGGATTTAACATTAGTAACTTCAGTTTCTTTTTGTTCAATTTTAATATGAGTAGTTGTCTGTTTGTTTTCGATAACAGTCTCTTTAAAACATTTTACGTCTTGATCTAAGTTACTATCTCTTTTTAATCTGTTTAAGAGAATTTTTTGATTGCGAATTATTAGATTACGAAATGTGTAAGTATCTTCAATTTTCGTTACACATAACTTGCATATTCTTGGCTGAATTGCTATTAAAATCTGAAAACCAGATTATTTAAAAAAAAAGCTACATTAAGGTAAATGCATGAATAGTTCGGGAACTTACGTCTTTTCCGAAACATTCTGTGATTTTAACAATAATATTATTATTGTCCGATGTATTGACATCTAAACATTCTATTAGGCATATTGTACAATTACTTCCTTTATTTAAAATAGAATCCATTTATCTTTTTAAAAATTAGAATATTTCTCATCAAACTATTGTTTGTTTGTAAATAATTTTAACATAGAGTAAGAAGCAACTGTCACTGTCAGTTTCTGTTCATGTAATCATAGAGTAAACAAGATATGTCAAGATTACTGTGTGACATTTAGCATTATAAAAATCTTTTTTCGCATAATAGACGGAAATTAAAATCAATTTTGTTTTTAATAGTTTATTTAACGCTTTTTGGTTTGCCATTTCTAGTTTGCCTGAGATGGACAAGTCTTGTGTGGGTGCCGAGGCTACTGGATTGTGTGAATTTCGCTGGACATCTGGTACACTGGTATGGTCGCTCGCCAGTGTGCGTACGAATGTGCGATTTGAGAATCGATTTTTGCTAAAAATTAACATACAAAGTTTAGTTTGGTTTTGTCGATATAATTGGAATTCGTAAAATTAAAAGATAACTTACGTCAAATACTTTATCACACATAGTGCAAGGGAATATGTAGGGCCTCTTGTATCCTTCGTGTGCACTCTTTTTATGTTTCTTTACGCTCCAACTGTTATTGAATGCCTGAAAAAATTCATAATTGTGATAAAACTGCCTTGCTTAAAATAAAACCAGTTTTATTTAAAAAAAAAAAAAAAAACAGTGAATCTACGCCCGAAAGGAGCGAAACCTTATGGTTTTAAGGGTAAAAAATAATGAAAAACACTAGTCTTAGTAAAAACAATGAAAATAATTTAATAAAAAAGAGGCTTTTAGGGTTAAAAATGTTTTTTTTTTTAATACAAATCTTACGTCAATTAGATTTTGAGGTTACCTTCTCACATAAATCGCATTTATAAGGTCTTATATTGAGATGTATTCTGTTCATGTGACGTTCCAAATCACGTTTGATGCCGAATCTTTTGTCGCACTGCGTACAGGCATGTCTGAAAGAGAGAATCATATAAAACCACTGATCTGTGTAAATGGACAGGTTGTTGCTTGGACATGACATTACATCGTTCAGACTTAAACGCCATTTTAATGACATGGCCTATATTTTGAGCGGTTAAAACTTAAATCCGCCAAGGAGTGCATTTTTGTTATAAGGGAGGCGGATAAAATAATTATATTAAAGACTTCATTAGTTATAATCAACACCATTAACAACTGTAATTAACACCAAGCGGAAAACAAATAGACAAAATGTTTTACCTGTCCATTTATAGAGTTCAGTGTAAAATACTCAAAATATTACGGAAAAACGGTTATATATTGTACTCACTGTAATTCGCTAGCGTTGGCATGCCGCGATGTTAGTTTTAAATGTTGCTTTAATGTATATTTACATTTAAAACTTCTGGAAAAAAATAAAGTTTTTTAACTTTTTTTTATAACAGGCGGCAAACGAGCAAGCGGCCGCCTGAATCCGCCAAAATGGCGAAGCGACCGCTGCCTATAGACATCCGCAATTGCAGATGCGTTGCCTACCCTTATCCGACAGAGGAGACCCACATAAAGAGGATACTTCCCCTTCCTATGCATCTCCTCCACCGTCAAATCCATTTCCTCTTCCCATCCTGTCCTTATAAGAAAAGGATAGCAAAGAGAAAGGGACTTAAATTAGGCCTCCGGCACCACACTCATCAGACGAAACACGGAATTGCTTCCATTTCACGCCTGTCTTCTAGATGACATTTAAATGTCAGATTTTAAGACTTTTACTATTAGGCCGTGTGTAGAAATAAAAAGTAAGTATCCTATCCTTCCTCTATCCTCTACATCTATGACATTCATTGAGATCCTTTCAGATTAGGCTACAAACTAACATCCATCTAAACTTTCGCATTTATAATATTAGTAAGATAAGACATAGTTCAGTTTAGAATAGTGTTAAATCATAGACGGTATGAAAATTAAAAAATTAAAAAAAAAACATTTTAAGAAAAAGTAGCTGTTCGCGTGCGGATTCATCCACGTTAAATTGTAAAAAAAATATTTTATTGTTTACATTTGTCAAATTATCAATAGCAAATGTCAAAATGACATGACATGACAAACCTTAGCAATCTTTCTTTCTTGATGTTTGTAGCAACTTATGGTCTCTTTCCTACATTAGGGTTTTTATCCAAAATATTTACCCCCTAAGTATAATGGCGTGAAAATATATAGCCTAAAGCATGACGTAAGTGTAGGGCTTTTTATTAAAAAAAAGAATTAATAAAAAATATGCTATAATTGCTGACATCTTAGGCAACAAAGAAATGTGTGTTTACGCTTTATTATAATAGTATAGATTCTCACAAACTTAACCTAATTTACATTTCTTTTTTACACACTAAACACAAACTAAAATAAACACAAAAACAGTAAGTATGATTATGTGTTTCTAAGTGTAATTACTTACTTATCACATTCAACACAATAGAATCTTTTCTCCGAGGAATGTTTCAAATTATGAGCCTTTAGTTGGGACGGAGTTAGAAAACCTTTCCCACATTCCTTGCATATTATTGTCTTCTTCAATACTTTTGGAGGAAGTATATTTGGATGTCTCCTGTATGGAAAAACTAGATTAAAAAAAAAAAGTTATCCTATCTTTCTACATCATTGGACAAGTTTTTTTTTGTATTTTATGTTGGATCTTCTTAAAAGTGTTACTATTATACTAACGTTAATTAAAAAAAAATACACAAAAAACGCAACTGACTAAATATAATACATGAAAATAGTAAAAAAATTGAAAAAATATTTTAAAATGGAAAAAATGTCATGGCGAGTGAAATTTGAACGCAATTTTTTTATTTCTTTAGTTTAACACTCTAGGGATAAAAACGAATCAAATGACACCGTCATTCTTCAAAATCGGTGCAATAGTATCGAATTTACACATTCTAGCTGTTGCTCGCAACTTCATCTGCGTGGAATTAAAAAATAGTAAAAAATATAGCCAATAGTAACATAGGCTATATTTTTTACTATTTTTTACACTGATAACGTAGCTTTTTAACGGAACAATTTTTTTTGAAATTGAATCAGTTGTTTATGTTTTTTTTTGTAAGACATACAAAAATCCAAAAATACAAATCTTTGCTATTTATATTAGTATAGACAAACACAAATACATAGAAACTTAGTTACACATGCAAAAAAAAATTACCCTATTTGTCAGTCGAGTAAAAAATGTTTATTTCTGTATATTTACTTACAATTGTATATGATTTCTGAGTCCATCTTTATTAGCGTAGGTTTTCATGCAATGCGCGCAAGTCACGCGTCTGTTTCTAAGACAATTGGCGGAATGCTTTCTTAAATTATACCGATCGCTGTAAAAAAACATTTAACGTAGACTTCAAACTTACGCTGAAACATGTAAAAAACCGTACTAGGAAGTTTGGCTGTATAAAAATCTTACTAATATTATAAATGCGAAAGTTTAGATGGTTGGATGGATGTTTGTTAGAGTTTGTAGCCTAAAAGTTTGAATGGATATTTGGCACAGATGTAGAGGATAGTCTGGAACACATAGGCTATTTACTTTTTTAATAATTTCTACAGACGGAGTCACGAAATCTAGTAACTATATATTTAAGACTAGCTGTTGCTCGCGACTGCATCCGCATGAAGTTGAAAAAAATATTAAAATATAGCCTTTGTTAATCAGTGATAATATAGCTTTTTAATGGTGCTAGTATTTTCAGAAAAAAAAAACGGTTCAGTAGTTTTTGAGTTATTTCAATACATAAATACAAATCTTTTATCATTATTAGAAGTAGAGATTTATTATTAAAGACTAGTTTTCGCCCGCGACTCCGTCCGCGTGGACTTAAAAAAAACAAAAGTGAGTAGCCTATGTTCTACGAGACTATTTTCTACATCTATGCCTTTCATCGATCCGTTCAGTCGTTTAAGCTACAAACTCTAACAAACATCCATCTAAACTTTCGCATTTATAATATTAGTAAGATAATCTTACTAATCTTATTAATTTTATAAATGCGAAAGTTTAGATGGATGAATGTTTTTTAGCGTTTGTAGCCTAAACACCTGAACGGTTTTCCATGAAATTTGGCACAGATATAAAACAAAGCCTGGAGTACACATGAGATAAGCTACATCCCAGAATGTCCGGTTCCACAATGTCCGGTTCCCGAGGGATACGTAGCTATTTGTAATTTATATAGTTCGTATGTTTTCTAATACCACGCGGATAAAGTCGCGGGCAACTCGTTCATTATAAAAATAAACTCACGTGAATGTTTTAGGACAGGTTTTGCATGTGTAGAGTACAGCGACTTTACTATGATGTGAATTATAATGGTCCCTCATACTTGTTTTCTGTATAACACCGCATATTAAACATTTATACCGACTGAAATAAGGTATAACACATATACATGGACAAAATAAACATTTATTCAACTCAAACATATTGCAATGCAATAAATATACTTAGTACTTAGGAGCGTCGGTAGCTCAGTGGTTTAAGCACTTGACTTGTAATCTACAGGTCTTTGGGTTCGAATCCCGCTGTAATTTTCATTTCCGAATTTTCATATGTACATAATTTACCCGACATTCTTACGGTGAAGGAAGACATGGTGATGCAACCTGCACATATCGGAGAAGAAATTCAAAGATATGTGTGAAGTCAACCAACCCGCAGTACAGCGTGGTTGACTATGGCCTAATCACCTTAATTTAGGGTAGGCTCCGAGCCCCTCGGTGGGGATATATATGAAATATACTTGAAAAGAAATACATACGAGAAATAAAATAATTTAAAAAACAAGAAAAATCAGAGGAAAAAATCCCAGATATCTAAATATGCGTTGCGTGATGCAGAACTGGTAGGGGTAATACAGTAGAACCTCGATAACATAAAAACTTCTATAACTTCAAAAAATATGTTCCCTTCCCATCAGAGCCCAAAACCTCTACAACATAGACCTTTGATAACTTAAAACCTCTATAACTAAAGTATTTTGTGTTTTCCTTGGATTATTTCACATCACAATAAAATCAGTTTTTTTTTAAAGATGTTTCAATATTGGGTCCAGGAACTGAAAATTCTATATGGAGGCCATTTTTTTTAGATATTCTACGAGTTTTAGCGTAATTTGTATGTCTATTGTTTAAGGTTTTGATTGGTATACTTGATCTAGATTCCTAATAACTTGCGTAACTTATTAATACTTTGTTTTTATACTTACATTTGATGTAATTTTATATGTCTGAATAATTTATCTTCAGTATCCATTCGTTGTTTACATATATTGCATACATAATCACCGTTATCCTAAAAAAAATACAAAAAAATATTTTGTAATTTTTTTTTTGTAATTTTTTTTTTTTGTAAAAAACATATACCGAAAAATTTAAAATTATACAATCATAGGTTTCCATTTTCGAAAAACATAAAAAAACACCATTTTTTTTTAATTGACAAAAAATTTTTTAGCACAACTTAACAGTGGAAACCTAAGCTTATATTTTTCCAAAAAATATATACCTTACTATGTAATTCCATATGTTTATGATAAGTAGCTTTATACGCGAAACCTTTTACACAATCCGTACATTTATATGCACAATTGATATATGTTTCTTCATTGGTCTTAATATATCTCTCTTGCATTAATTCTTCTATGTTAATATAAAACTTTTGAATTGTCGTTCTTTCTACAAAAAAAAAAGAACAAAGATATCAGTAAGTGTTAAGATGCGCACGGGACGCGACAAATGGCAAGACCAAAGAGTTTAAAAAAAATACGGAAGAGAAAAAATACGGAGAAAATAAATACGGAGTTATGACTCCGCCAGTGTTTTTTTACGTTACGGCATACCGTAAACAAACATAAAAAAAATAAAAAAAACAAACATACAGACGAATTGAGTACCTCCTTTTGGAAAGTCAGTCAAAATATAGAGGAGGCATTGACATTTTACTTGAAAAATTTTTCAAATTTTCCTCAAAACCTACATCAAGAGTACACACACTTCTTTGTTGCCTAAGATGTCAGCAATTACAACATATTTTTTAATAATACCTCTTTTAATAAAAAGCCCTACATTTACGTCATGCTTTAGGCTATATATTTTCACGCCATTAAACTTAGGGGGTAAATATTTTGAATAAAAACCCAATGTGGGAAAGAGACCATAAGTTGCTGCCAACATCAAGAAAGAAAGATTGCTAAGGTTTGTCATGTCATGTCATTTTGACTTTTGCAGTTGATAATTTGACAAATGTGAACAATAACATGAAATTTTTATAATTTTATGCGGATGAAGTCGCATGGGAACAGCTAGTGTTTTATAACAAAAGATGGATATTATTACAATTTCGTCAAATGTGTTATAACATGTCAATACAAACACGAGGTAGTACCTTTCAAAGAAGTTACCGGTAACAATTTTCAATATGTAGTCTATGCATTTTTTAAATAACTTTGTGCAAGGCAAATCGTCCACATTTAGGTTAAGGGGCAACTTAATTCGCGGTTACACTTGGCGGAAGTTGATCACACTATGCCAGTCCAGTTATGAACGCTACAGATAACCTTTACTGGAATGCAAACCGCTTGAATATATGTAAATAAATCACATTTAAATATCATACCAATAGATTTATTTTTCAGTTTCGTTAAATGTTCCTTTGTTTCCAATTCTTGTAATAAATCCATAGCATTTATAGTACTCCCATTGTCAAGTTCACAATTTATCTCCTCAAAGTTTCCGTTAGTAACTGAAAAATGTTAAAAAATATTTTTTTTTATTTCTTCTGAAACAACTGGAATAGGTAAATCATCATTTTATTTAGGGAAACAAACTTAATAGCTATTTTTTTTTACATATTTAAAATGAATTATTACTTCATCATCCTCCTTACTCCGGTAGAGTCGGCACAACAGGCTTTTGTCCTCCACATAAGTCTATCATACGTCATCTCAGTCATCACTCCCTAGATCATGTCACCTTTCACGCAATCCATCTCTTTCTATGTCTACCTCTACCGATGTACCCTTCCACACTTATAATTAATGTTCTCCTTGTAACATGCGATTCATCCCTCCTCATAACATGCCCATACCATGCTAACCTTTTACTCTTTCCCTTCTCAACTGGGGCTACTCTCAAACTTCCTCTAATATACTCATTTCGTATCTTAAAAGTGGAAGCAATTCCGCGTACATCTGATGAGTGCGGTGCCAGAGGCCTAATTTTAGTCCCTTTCCCTTTCCACCCTTTTCTTAAAAGGAATTAATGGGAAGGAAAAGTGGATTTGACAGTGGAGACGCATAGGAAAGGGAAAAGTGGATTTGACAGTGGAGACGCATAGGAAGGGGAAAAAGTCCTCTTTATGTGCGTCTCCTCCGTCAATGAAGGGTAGGCAACGCTGCAAATGCGGATGTTTATGGGCATCTGTTACTTGTTACCAAAAAAAAAAACATACAGACGAATTGAGTACCTCCTTCTTTTGGGAAGTTGGTCAAAAATGTTTATAAACACTCTCAGTAGAGACAAGGGCAAGTTGATTTTAAAACAGTAAAACCAACATACCTACTTTGGCTTCTCTTTTTCTACCTTTCTTAGTTACTCTTTTCTTTTTAATATTCTCCTTTGGTATTTTAATCTGAACATCACTTTCACTTTCAGTGTTAACATCTGGTAGTTCATTTTTAACAATTACTTGTACATCTGAAAAGTTTTCACACTAAATTAATTGCTAACTTACTAATATTATAAATATAAATGTTTAGATGGATGGATATTAGAGTTTGTAGCCTAAACTGCTGAAAGCCATGAAATTTGGCACAGATGGATAGTCTGGAAGAATACAAAGGTTACTTTTTTAATTCCACGCGGATGTAGTCACAGGCGAAAGTTAGCAAACATATAAAATACAAAATCAAATAGTCACAAAGTACATCTATAGCCTGTCCATTTAAATAGATCAGTGTTCAATTTATTATTTAATCTATACTATCATAATAAAGCGTAAACACACACTTTGTTGCCTTAGATGTCAGCAATTACAGCATATTTTTGAATAATTCTTTTTTTAATAAAAAGCCCTAAACTTACGTCACGTTTTAGGCTATACATTTTCACGCTATTAAACTTAGGGGGGTTAATATTTTGGAAAAAACCCCTAATGTGGGAAAGAGACCGTAAGTCGCTGCCAACATCAAGGAAGCAAGATTGCTAAGGTTTGTCATGTCATGTCATTTTGACATTTGCTATTGAAAATGTAAATAATGAAATAAAATTTCATAATTTCATGCAGATGAAGCCGCATGGGAACAGCTAGTTTTATTATATTTACCTATCAAATCATTGTCCCGCAAATCTTCATATTCAAATTTCATTTCATCCTTAATATCCTTTTTATAAACACCATGTTTATATACAGAAATTGTAGGTTCCGTTTGTTCATCGCCAGATAATTCAATAGTATCTAAAAACACTATATCAAAGTATGGTTCTACCATAACATTAATAGTTTGTTCTGAAAACTGTAAAAAGAAGATTTACATAAACATATTATTTAATGCAAATAACTGAAAAATTTTAATAAAAAAAACAATATGAAAATACTTAAACTCTAAATTATATAAAAAACCTTTTTAAGCAAAGGTTTTAATTTTGTTTCTGCTTAACCATCACTTAGGTATTTGTATTTTCTCTATATATTAAAAACTAGTTTTAGCCCACAACTCCATTCTCGTGAAATTAAAAAAAAAGCAAAAGTGAATAGCCTTTGTGTTCTTCCAGGCTATCCTCTACATCAACATATACTTCATTACAATCTGTTCAGCCTTTTAGGCTACAAACTCTAACATCCATCCATCTAAACTATCGCATTTTTAATATTAGTATGAAAGTATGATTATAGAAACTGAATATAATAAGGAACTTTGATGTTTAACATTGGAAGTTTAACATTTTTTTAAATACATTTTTGTCATTATTAACTTAATTTTAAGATTCAAATACTACTATAGACTATTAAAATATATATACAGATAATACTGTTGGAGTTTTTATATGTTTGTATACTGGCAGGCAACACTGTACACACAGAGGATGGTTTTTAATATTAGAATAATATATTTTAAATTATAAAGAATTGTATATTTGATGTTTTATATTAGACTTCACATCTCGACACATACCAAGAAACATAGTAGGACTTATAGAATACTTATAAAATATGGTTTTGATATTATAAATATAATGATGATTAACTAGATGAAGAAAATATTTCAATAGCCCCACACCTCCAGAGCCCCGGACGGAGAAAAGTAACCGTCCAATAAATACTTGTATACTTACATTATGTAAATTAACTAATAATTGATTACTTAGAATTTTCTCTATAACACATTCAGCATTCTGTACTAGTTTTTTGCACATAAAACATAGAGGGAGATCATCAACCTGTAATAAAATATTTTGTCTCATAAACAATGAGTCTTTTAAAAACATACAGTTGTCTCTCTTCCTACAAAGGGCGTGAGAAGGATGCTAATACATTTGCAGTGAAAATGAATAATATTTTGTCAAATACAGTCAGCCATATAAATATACATTTACAAAACTTTAAAACCTTGTATGAATGTTCGGTTTCAAAAATGTATAGCATAAATTAGTTGGCAGATAATGGTTTTATATAGGCATGAAACATATATAAGTTTCAGAAATGTTAAAAATGTATATACAAGGCTTAGAGGTGTCCTCTAAGCAATTATACTTTATTGTTACTATACATGATGTAAAATTATTTTTAAATTACACTCACCTTTAATATTATTTTCAAATGTTCACTCTGTAGTTTGTAATTTTCATTCCTATTATCGTTCTTGCTCAAACAATTCACACAGAAAGATGTTTTCATTTCTTCTTTAATTAAATCCATTGTAAAGACAAAATAAGATCAATTTTTTCCTGAATCATGTAACGCCATGTTTTTTTGCACTAAGTGTATCTTACTTTTTAAAAATGTGACATCTTACGTTGGCCAAGAGTGTACTTTGAAATACAGATTATATTTGAGTACATTTTTATAATTCTGGCGCGCGGGCAGTGTGTATTTAAACTTTTACTTCTGGAATCACTTATTTAGTGCTTGCAAACATAAATACTATGTTCCAATAGTTTTCACATTGCGAGTTTTCTCTTGTGGTAGCCAATGAAATGTTTTATTGTAAAGAAATTGATGAAAATAAGGTTTCCAGGGTGCACAATCTCAGTACATTTAACTTGGAAATCCGAAGATAAAATACTGCAATATAACGGAGCACCTTAAATCTATTTTGATAATAAAAAACAGACTAATTTTGTTTTTAGTAGTATTATATTTGTTATATATGCCAACGCGCAGTAACAGATGGCTGTTTTACCAATAAAAAATTACTAGTTCAATTAATATACGATAGATGCCGCTATTTAGTAGCTCTTCTTGTAGTGTTTTTTTTTTGTGTATTTGTTGAATGAAACCTTTTTTCAACTCTGATTTACTTCTTTTTAATTGTCACTTGTAATTCGATGTCAGTTCAATAAGTAAAATGTCTATTACATTTATTTATCGTTAAAGTACTCTGTATTATCGTTTAATTGAAAATACTCAACAGTATTTAGGTAGGTGCAGTCCTGATTGTAAAGAAAGAGGAGGTATGTCTGTTTCTATGTCTACTTACTTCAGAACATACTTTTATATAACACTGTCTCTATCCAGCAGTAAGACGTCTCCTCTCGTATAATGAGAATTTAATTTATAGCTATAGTCCACATCTATGGCCTTGTGCCTCTGAACATTGCCGGACTACTTAAGTATTTGTTTGTAGTGTTTTGTCTTTAACATGTATTTGGTTCTTTCAGAACCATATTTACAGCAGTAAAGCAAAAGTAGTAAATTGTTACACTAATCTCTCTTAGACTTTTTTGTACATTAAAGCATGCTTTTAATGAGTGCAATAATACTAAATAAGATGTAACCAGTAAGAAGGTGGGAATATTTTATTTGGGCCATTAGTCTCAGATTTTAATAGTTAGTGCCATATGGTATTACGGTTTTAGTCACTAGCCTTATTATTTTTTGTTAAAATAAAAGATTATTATTTTAAGGTATGCATCAAGTACTACAACTTGTACAACTGATGTCACTGATGTTTATGTATGATTTCTCATCTCAATACGTACCGCGTAACACCGTAGGATATATGAAATATGAGATTGTATAAAATGTGATTGTTGATACTTATAATATACTTGTTAACTATGTGAAGACAGTGTTTCAATAGCCCTACACCTCCAGAGCTCGGGACAGCAGAAAGTAACCATCCAACAGTATCCTTTGTTGTTACTTCCTAATTGGTATAATGCACTATTTGGGTGGATATATAAATCTTTTCATAATGGTTAGATATTTATAACAGATATAATATAGGTGTATAAATATCTAAATATCTATATTTCATAACACAGATATTTAGATATTTATATAACCTATATTATTATTTTAAATAACGCTCGTTTGTCCCATTTCATTAAAAAAAAATAAAAACAAAACAAGAAAGAAAGAAAGTTGTAAACTATGAAATACAGATGGCGCTTTTCTTCGTGTTACCCAATTTTAGGCCGAAGATTGGTCTCTATTTCAATATGTTACAAAGTACTCTGTGAAGGTTTCATAATATTATTTGTCGAATTGTTTCATTTGTCAAAGTCAAATTGTCAATGTCAGTGGGTGGATGGACGTGACGTTTTTTAAGCACAGCTAATAAATTACAGAATCTATCTTTTTGGCTTTTATTGTAAAAATATCAATGTGTGTTTTTGACGGGAATTAAAGTTAATATGATTATTTTAAAATTTGCACATTAAAATTAGAATTTGTTCACAACATGGTAGCTAATAGGTAGTATCAGGAAAAAAAACAGATATTTTATATTTTACGTGTAGAACCGAATAAGTTGTTTATATCACAAAGAACGGGGATTTCAATAATTTTTAGCGATGGAAAATTTCCATGAAAGAAATTAAAAACAATAACAAATAACAAACGTAAAATAAACCAAAAAGACAAATTTAAGAAAATTAATTAATGAAATTAATAAATAACAATAAGATATTTTTAAATAACGATAAAGTTTCGCTTCGACCTATACAAAAATAAGGAAAATCGCAAGTAACCAAAATGTGCATGACATCCTTCCTGTTTGCCTGTTGCCAAAAATAGGTTTTAGAAGAGATTATTTTAAAAACAGTTATTTATAAAACAATTGCCGGTTCTAAATTTTATTTTAAAATAGTATTTTTGGTTTATTTTACGTTAGATAAATCCCGTTTATGAAAGTTTTCAAAACCAACTGTAACTTTAGTTCAAGTACGAATACCGCCCGATTCCTTTAAAATCATGTGTTTGTTTCAGTGCTTTTGGAGCAAACTCCCAGTTATGCATTTTGGGAGAGCTAAGAAAACGGGCATGTTTATAAAAAAATCTGCAGGCAAAGTTCCGTAACGATTTTTTTATTTTCAAGGCATTTCAGTGGGTGAGAATCTTGAAAAATATTAGAATAAAAGGGTTCTTTAACTCGCATTTTTTAATTTGCACAGATACCTAATGTTTTTATATTGTAAAATAATCAGTGTTTAATGGTTTTTATAAATCTGAAAAATCAAGATATCATTGATAATTTTTTTAATAAATTTTTGAAGTGGCAATTTTGACTTCTTTTGAAAAAATCGAAAAATCAAGATTACTCGAAAACGGTTAATTTTTGTGTCATGCATATAGGAGTCAAAATTATCACAAATTATCGCTTCTATAACCTCTTAACGGGAATACGTCTAATTACCAATAACACTGATACAATACAATACAAAAACCTACATACACCTGTCTATTTGGTAATAATTAATTACTGAGAAATACTAACTGTAAAATAAGAATTTTCTTGTATTGAAGATTATCATGGTATTCTAAGATACAACTTAGTAATAAAGTATAGCACAAAAAATCACAAACATTTTACGTGTTACTTTTTAACAACACAATTATTGGAAAAAACTAGTTCGCTAGTTATATCAAGCAGTTCAAAGAACAATAATGTATTGTTATTCATTCCTCGAAAATAATATAACTAGCCGCTATCACCCTACGTTATCCGTGGCAATTTTATTTCGCAAAACAAAAATTTAGATTTAGAACAAAGTAATACTAAACTATATAACAAAAATACGAACAAACATTCTTCCTATAAGATAACAAGTAAAGATATATAGAAAACAACTGTTTTATGAGATATCGAAAGTTTCTTCGGTTTTTGTGAATCCGTGATTCATACTCTAAACCCATGGGAGTTTTGATAAGCTATCCTTTTTGTTTTTTAATAATCTAAACAAAAATACAATAAGCCGTGATAGTATTATTTAGAATATCAGTGGAAAGTCCGCTTCCTTTGATAGCTACACAACCACATCCCGTTTGTCACATAGATTAGACGAGCGATAGAAGATACTTTACACTTTAATGCCTAACTGCACTTTTTATTTGTGGAAATTTAAATAATTAACTTATGATACATTCTTATCCGTCGATTTCTTATTTATAGGAGTTTAATCGTTGAAGTATGTAATTTCAAAAATCAAATAACAAAATGGTTTAAACACTAGTAACTTGTTCTCCGTCATAAGTCCCTATATTTTGTTATGTAGGGGTGTTAATGAAACGGCGGTTTACTCGACTGTTTATTATTCTTAATACCGACGGTACATTATATTGGCATATACATATACAACACATACTGTACCTATAAATCCTGTCTGCTTGGTTACTTAATCTTTGTTCTACTAGTACAACATAAAATGCGCGTTAATTTGTCATTTGAATTTGCTTCTGTAAATGTTCAGTAATTCTAGTCCCAAATGTTGAAAACACAGGATTTTTTTACTCTGTGATTATTTTTATTATAGTTAAACGAAAACCGATTGGGTTTTTGTTATTTTTTTTTATAGTAGTGTTTTTTTTTATTTTATAAAATGAATGTAAAGTGTTTTTTAGTTTTGTTTATTATTGGATATATTAAAGCTGGTAAGTTTGTATTTTACAAGGTTTCTAAACGTTTTTATTTACTACTGAATTATTAAATGGGAAAGTCTGGATGGACGTGTGGATAGATAATCGTTACTATGTATATTTAAAACATAGTAATTAGATTAAAACACAGGCTAATTATTAATTTTTTTAGTTAATTCCGCGCGGATGAAGTCGAGGGCGAAAACTTTATAGAGAGAGTATTTTTCTATGAATTATATACCCAATAAATTCTGAAGTAATAAATTGTTGTACTATTTGTATACGTTAAATATATAAATCAACGTTTTAATAAACTTAAGTACATTATATGCAAATAGATGTGGTCTACGGTTCTATTCCTTTCAATGATTACATAGTCCTACAAGCCTAGAGAGTAGTTGGAATCCTTGATCTGTTAATGAGGGACACATATGAGCAATTTAAATTATTAAAAATATATAAAGTCGTAGTAATGCAATAAATATTTATCAACCGGATGGTCGCTCTTGGTTTGTCCTCCGCACTTCCGGCGACAGGCTGCGTAGGAGGTCTCTCACGATCAGCAGACTTGCTCATATGTTAAATAACCCAAAAGAATTTAAAAATGTAATTAATGAAGCGTTAACTCAATGGAGAGTTCATCTTGAACGATTCCTGCCGCCGAGTTTCTTCATCGGACGACACGACAGACCGCCAGGTACCATCCTCACCATCTCGATGGCTGGCATTCTACAACCGTGCGGTTTTCGCGGAACTTTCTGCCCCGCACAGCCGCGTTTTGGAACGGTCTGTCCTCGGCGATATTTCCAAACCAATACGACTTAAGGTCCTTCAAGAAGCGAGCCTATCATTTCCTCAAAGGCCGGCAACGCATCTGTAGTTCCTCTGGTGTTGCGGATATCCATGGGCGTCGTTGACCACCTTGGTGTTCACGCCGCTCGTTTGCCCCCTTTTATGACAAAAAAAATCTGATCATGTTGTTAAATTCACCGACCATTCGACTGTTGTTGAACTATATTCTAGTTGAAGCATAAGCCTAGAGTATAGTTGAACGGTACAAGGGAATTTCATTAAAATCGATGCATTCTTATAGAATCGAAATTCTCAGAGCCGGAAAAAAAATAATATCCTATGAGATTTTACAAAATGATTGAGTGGTAGAAGCTTAACAGCGGGTTTAAGCCGTTTTTTACGGTTAATTACATAACATGGAATAACTTAACACGTTTACTGCGGCAAGTAAAATAATAATTATTTATATGGTGCGGCGGCGGGCCAAAATACGCCCCCAATTATATTTCAGACAGTGCGTCGCAGGTCTTTCTAGACCCACCAGTACTAGAATAGATTAAATTGCTATAACTTTATGTAATGTAATGATCGTTTGGAACGAGAGGGACATAGTTTTCTTCGTCCGCACTAGCTTAAGTACCACATCAGGTCGATATCGACCTGTTACGCAGTGTAATTGTTAATTATTAATTTTTTTTTTCAGATTATTTGTATTCTTCATCTTCAGCGGCGTCATGTGGATTCCCTCATATAGATAATGGAAGAGTGCGAGTGAGACAAAAATCTAGATTAGTGAAGTTTATTTGTTCGCCGCGGTACGAGTTGGTTGGCAATAAATATGCAACCTGCAGGGGCTCGCAATGGGACGTGCCGTTGCCCGTTTGTGTTCGTAAGTTAATAACAACATGTAAATTATTGCCTCTTTAGTATAAAGAAAATGTACAATCGGGGAAACCGACGGTGGTGTTAGCTACAATCGTTTGATCATTTTGAAACGAGAGGCGAAACGAAACACGATTCAATGCAGCTTATATACGTATCTGTACGAAAAGCAGTCGGTTAATGATTAAGATATTTTTTTATTATAATCCCTTCGTTTGCACTCACTGCTATCTTATTAGTTATTTGTAAAAGTCGGAGATTGTCTCGTTACAATGAACAAAGTAATTTTTGCCAAAGTGAAACACCGCAGATTTCCACGACTGTACCTGTCGTATTATTCCTCCTTTGTGATAAAAGAATACAAGCCTGAAAATATGTCAGGTTAGTCACCTTTAATAGGCCATAGTATATATTGAACAAATCCTCTTTCAGGTACAGGATGCAAGGTACCGTCTATTGAGAATGGAGTGGAGATACCTTCAAGACAAAACGCCTGGGTGGTTTTCTTCTGTCTGCCAGGACATAAGATGATCGGCTCTTCGACTATATATTGTGATGGGAGACGATGGAACGGGACAGCACCATCCTGCGTTGGTGAGTTATTCATTCCTCTGACGTTTGTATTCTTTCCTTCATCGAGAACTTTCTACTTCAAGTAAAAGTGCTTGATCGTCATCAATCAACAACAAATTAGAAATGACGTCAGGAAACGTATCTGTGATTATTAATTAAGAAGTAATTGTCTCCATAGATGCAACGTCGTCTGGTTTACCGAAATGTGACTTCGAAGATCCGAAGATCTGTGGCTGGATGCAGGATGATCTCCACGACTTTGACTGGATCAGGCTGAATCAAAAAACACCTTCTAATTTCCTCTTTACGGGACCTTCGTACGATCATACCTACGGAAAAGGAGGTTCAGGTAATGCAAATCTTTGCTTTGTTATTGTTATACAATCAACACCAGGTTACTATACGTCCCCATTGAGGGGCTTGGAGTATACTCTAAGTTAGGCTGACTAGGCCTTAGTCAACGGCGCTGGCCCACAGCGGGTTGACGTCACACGTATCTTTGAATTTCTTCGCCGATATGTGCAAGTTGCATCGCGATGTTTTCCTTCACCGTAAGAACGTTAGGAAAATGATGTAGATATTAAATTCGAAAATCGTATTGGTTACATGCCGGGATTCGAACCCAAGACCTGTGAATTACAAGTCAAGTCGTTAAACCCCTGAGTTACCGACGCTCTGTTTTGATATGATTCCTGTTTAATCTTGGCTTCATTTAGTCAACGAAAAAATCGTAAATTACTTAATATCATGAAAATATAATTTTGATTTTAGGTTACTATATGTATATTGAGAGTACATCAAGATTAGTAAATGACAGCGCCCGTCTCATATCGCCGATATACGACGGCGCCTTAGCTAAGGATGGCTGCTTTGTATTCTTTTACCATATGTATGGAGAGTAAGTAATCGTGAACCTATAACATTCTATTTTAGCTCATGTTTTATGCGCATTTTTACTATAAACGTGGTATAAGGGGGGGGGGGGTGGATGTAGTGTTACAACGAAACCAGCAACTAATCGCATGATGCGAATATTACATTACACTATGTAACGTCCTTGTAACTGTCCGTGTACTTTTAATTCAACTTTAAGCTTTGTAAATCTTCAATTTTCTTCTAGAACGACTGGTGGTCTCCGTGTATACCAGAAACCGGAGAACTATGCTTTGAGTTCTCTCCTCGGACTGAGCAGTAGCGAGAAACAGAAGTATATTCTCTTCGAGAAGTGGGGCAATCTTGGTAACGTTTGGTACGACGCTGTTCTGCCCCTTGTCGACTTCTCTGATAACTTTCAGGTAATAATTACTAAAAATAATAAAGTACTCATCATCTTCTTGTCCTTATCTCACTTATGTAGGGTCAGCATATTCCCGCCCTCGTCACTCCCTTCTTAGAATTTAAACTCAATAATTATATAAGCTTTAAAGTATTGGAACAGACTTCTATTTCTATAATAAATAATCGATATGATGAAAAAATGATGTAACGTGGCCAGTCACATTGAAGTACCACGCAGATACTTTGGGAGCGCGTACACCTTTGACTAAACTATAGCACAACTGTTTAGTTTCGCTTTGATTGCTATGAGCTTATATGGAGGTTTACACTACTTGATTTTTAGTTGTGCAACTAAACAGTTGAACGCTGCGAAACAGTTGACAATCGACAATCGCACAACAGTTTTGCATGATCTATCATCATATCATTATCACCTTCCTGCTTATCCTATTCCCGTAGGGAGCACCGGGTTTTCGTCCACCAAATAACTCTTTGTAATCATGTCACCTTTCACACAATCCATCTGTTTCTGTCTACCACTACTGTCTATATTCATAACTAACGTTCTTCTTGTTACATGCGATCATCTAATGAAATATCTGATGTTTTCAGATCGTAATCGAAGGTCTACGAGGGTCTAGTTTCACTAGCGACATCGCGATAGATGACGTGGCCATCCTGCAGGGCAGCAATTGCAGCGTGGCGCAGCTTGAAGCCACCACACCCTCGGAAATCTCGTGTAAGTTTACTAAAACAGTAGTTTGTTGGCGTAATTTAAAGACCGAACAGAAGTACAATGGCAAAATCATTAAATAACAAATACTCGTTTGAGATGTAAGGTTTTTTATTGTATTTTTAAAGCGGATTCATGTACGGGTCGCTGCGACCTTCTGGGCAAAAACACAGCCAGCGGTGGCTGCACCTGCGCAGCTTCTTGTATAAGAGAAAATAACTGCTGCATCGATTTCTTCGACACTTGTGTATTTTCTAATGGTAAGCACACTTTTAGCATACTATTTGTATATACTAGACTAGCTATTGCTCGCGACTTCGTCTGCGTGAAATTAAAAAAAACTAGTAAAAGACATAGCCTATGTTACTTACTGATAACAAAGTTTTTTAATAGGGAAATAATTTTTGAAATCGATTATAAGTTATTGCAACCGCTCTTAGTCTATCTATACTAATTATAAAGAGGAATGATTTGTATTTAGGGCTCTCGCGCAAGATCAGCGCTGGGTGCTTCGATCAGAAGCATCCAGCATTTATAGCTGAGCGAGGAGCCAATCCGGTCAGCATTGCATACACATTTTAATTATTTTGTTTGTCGTGTAATTACGTGTTTATTATTTATTCCTTTTTAATTACTTTGTTGTGTGTTTTTTTCTCTTATTCCAATTGTATTGTAGTGGTGATATGATTAAATGCTGTTTTATTTTATTTTTCTATGTTTTGAAATAACTCAAAAACTACTCTGCCGATTTGAAAAATTCTTTCCCCATTAAACAGTTACGTTATCAGTGAGTAATATAGACTATGTTTTTTACCATTTTTTTTTTAATTCCACGCGGATAAAGTAGCGAGTAACATCTTAAAAGATAAATGTAATGTTTATTCTATGCGACTTCTGATTATTAAAGAATTTAAATGCTTGCAATTAAAGGAATAACTTTCATACACAGATGGCGACAATAACAACGACGATAATTCGAGCAATAGTACAGAGATCGCGCCGCAAACGCAAAAATTAATAGCCAGTACACCATTTACTACCTCAACAACTACAACCCTCACACCAAAAACTACCTCAACAACAAGACGATCAACCACTTCTACAACGACTACAACTGCTAAACCGACAACTACAACATCAACTACAACAACAACCACGACAACAACTACAACTCCAAAAACAACCACAACTACATCAACGACCACAACTAAACCAGTCACTAACGTTACTAAAGTCACAAAGATTGCTACCACAATCACACCCAAACCAACAACACAACCTACAACAAAACTACAAACAACTATTAAAACGACCAGCCCTAAAATTCAAATAGATTATTCATTCACTCCAATACAAGATGTTTTTCAAGATGAAGATGATAATGGAATAAAAGACGAAGAAAATACAGACAAAGAGCAAAATACCATAGAATACGCGACAGAGCCTACAAGTAAGTAAAGTATTTATTTTTGAACAACAATCTTTAGTAGTTAATCTTTTTTATTAAATTCACTTTTATTAATAAACTAATAATAAACTTTTTTTAAAGAAAAAATGTTGAGATTCATAATTCTACAACATGTTTACGAGAAAAGATTTTTTTTACACTTATCTCATATAAATGTGATCCCAAATATTTATTTTGCTCTATTTTCTTGTGTCAAATCTAGTAATGGAAATAGGACCTATTTATTGTTGGAAGAGTTATCCTTAGTTCTAGTTTTTTTAAACTTATTAAAACTTTCGTGAGTCATTTTTGTATGGTTTTTTTTGTTTTTTTTTTTTTACTGATTATGTCACAAAAGTTCACTTATCTTTTTTATTGTTTAGATTACTTTATATTGATATTACTGTATGTTTTCAATAAATATCACTAAGACGGAAAAACCCTAGCTTCTACAAGACGGGCTTAACTTAGTGGAGGAACTAGGAGTGTAGGAGCTGTTCGACTTCTGAAATAAGTAAATTGACAATTTTTTATCCTTTCCAGAATCTGGTAGTTTGAAGACGGGTCTAATATCAATATTAGCTATATTATGTTGCATTGGTTTGATTTGGTTGCTTTTGGAGGTTAGGAGTTCTCGCGGCAGACGCACTTTGGCGCGTATCCGAGGTCATGTCACCAGCGATCCAGAAGTCAGATATTTATCAACAGATGTAGATGATGATTAAATTATTTTAATTTATTAAATTATGCTTTTTATTCTATTGTTTCTTTTATCCTAACTCGATACAAGAGAATTCAAAAGTGCAGCGTAACGATAAAAAGTTTTTAGGTTAGTTTTCCGTTACTAATACTTGAATATGGGGATGAAAATTGAAGAAAGGATTCCCATAAGAATTAATAACCATAGACAACTGAGACGAGAAGAAAAAAGTAAAAAAGGACTCGGAAACGCTATAAACTCTTTAACTAAAACCAAAAGATACCACCTAAAAAAAATACCTAAACTTAATTAAAAAAGAACACGACTATAACGGTCAAATAGCGCCATCTATTGCCTGCATTTTAAAACAGATTTTATTTTTGAAATATAAGCTAAATAGCTAAATGCTCTATCCTATGAGCCTATGATACTGTAGTGGGCTAATCGAATGATACATCACTAGTCAAAATTACCAGTTATGGTTTAACCCGTCGTAATAGAATTTATTTCCTTACGGTAAACATAACCCTTTTTGTCACGGTAAAAACCGTGTGAAAATTGTACAGAAAATATGGTCATATCGTACATAGTTTTCACTTCAATTTTTTTAAATGGCAACACTTCACACAACTGGCGTCATTAAAAGCGCGCGTTATTCAAATGGTGACCTTAATACCACTTTACCCCGTTTCCAGTGTCACCCGCCATGGGGGCGGGACTTAAGATATGCTATCGCGTAACTATCGACCCAACGCGTCCGCCATTTTGTTAGTGCGCAGGCGCGAAAATATATGCGGACCAAATGACGTTTGCAAGCCACAGTACCACGAATTCCGGCCTGCAAATAACTGTAAATCAGCTCTCGAACGAAATTGATCTTTTTTATCTACGTATAATGATCGCTTGTTAAGGAATACAGGTAAGAGATTTTCTTATTTTTTTTATTATTGTTTTTAATAATGTAATTTTCATGTTTTAAAATTTTAAATTGTACTTGATTGTAAACGGATAACGTTGGTTTTACGTGATTGTTGTGTTGCAAAGATAAGTTCTTTACAATTATTTACGAATGTTAAATTAAAATGCTAGTGCTGGGTTATATGTAATTAATCGAAACCTTTGATAAATTAACGGTTGTAAATAGAATAAAAAAATCTTGTTAGAATTATTCAAACTCCTTTTTCAAACTAATGACCGTTTTCATTCAATTTAATCAAAGATTCATCGACAGTTTCCGCATGAAAATGTTTAAGCGACATTTTTCAGACAATTCGATGTGTTCTGACTTTAATTTATTTTCAAGTTTTCTTTGAATACGTTCTTAAAAATTCTGATATTTTCAGAGCTATTTCCTTATAGTTAATTGTTAAATATCCTAGGTTTTGTTTCGAATGAGTCTTCTATATTTTGCTGATGTTAAAAAAATAATCCTAATTTCTTTTTAAAGTATTTACATTATGTTTAATTTAAAAATAGTATCTTGCTCCCAAGAGATATATTTTCCGAATTTCACTGTTACTCTTCCTTCCCAAAATAACTTAATGTCTAATTGTTTGTATATTATGAACTACAAACTTATTTAAAAATAATTTAATAATCACTGTAAGAGTAAAATAATTGTGATATTCTTTATTTTAATTTTCAATGTTTCGTAAAATTTCATACTCGCACAATGTGCGGCTATTATATAATACGACTAATTTCACGTAACAATAAAATCCAATTTAATTAGAGATGCAATACGACATTGCATTCTTCGCAGTATTATAGAAGAGTTTCGAGTCAAGGACGTCTGACGTAATCAAAAACAATTGTTATGTAAGGTTTGTTACGTGGATGCGAGGGAAATGAAGAAAGTTTTTTTTTTATAGAATAGTAATTTAGAACCTTAATTACTATTGCTTTTCGCAAATTTAAAACATGATGAAGGAAAACATCATTAGAGGAAGTTTGAGAGTAGCCCCAGTGGTTGAGAAAATAAGGAGTAAAAGGTTAGAGTGGTATGGGCATGTTATGAGAAGGGATGAATCGCATGTAACAAGAAGGATGTTAGTTATGAATGTGGAGGTACATCGGTAGAGGTAGACCTAGAAAGAGATGGATGAATTGCGTGAAAGGTGACATGATCAAAAAGGGAGTGATGACTGAGATGACGGATGATAGAATGCTTTGGAGGACGAAAACCCGGTGCGCCGACCCTACGGGAGTAGGATAAGGCAGGGGAGATGATGATGATGATGATGATGAAGGAAAACAACGTAATGCAACCTGCATATATCGGCGAAAAATTTCAAAGAGGTGTGAACCCGCAGTGGGCCAGCGTGGTTGACTATGGCCTAGTCACCATAGCTTAGGGTAGGCTCCGAGCCCCTCGGTGAGGACGTATAGTGAGCTGGTGATGATTTAAAATTACACCACGATTTAAGCTTGTTAATTCTAAGAATTAAAGACAAATAGAGAAAAATTCACAGCAACCTAAAGATCGTATGGTCAAAATGACCATAAAATCGCAAAGATTGTTAAAGGAAATTTGATTTTTTTTATTGAGTTGATTGGTTTTCTTGTCCACATTATTACCTTAATTGAATAATAGCTTTATTAATTTGCTTCTTTAATTTTGATTAACAATTACGTAATGGTTTACATAAAAAACGGTTTAAAATACTTTGAATAGACCTCTTCTGGTTTTTTTCAAAGATATCGACATACATATTTTCTACTGAACAAATCTATACTATTATAATAAAGCGTAAACACACAATTCTTTGTTGCCTAAGATGTCAGCAATTACAGTATATTTTTGAATAATCCTTTTATTAAATAAAAAGCACTACACAAAAGGAAAATTTTTATAATTTCATGCGGATGAAGCCGCACGGGAACAGCTAGTTACTAATAAAGTTAGTGGGACAAACTTATATGGCCCGGTAAAAGTGTTTTTTTCAGAAGAAATGGAAATCTTATCTGAAAATGATTTACAATATATACAGTACAAGATTTTTCCGACACTATTTTATTAAAATAAGGTGGTAATGTAGTTTTAACTTGAGATCACCAGGTCAATTAAGTTTACAGGTGTACTAGCGACCCGCCCCGGCTTCGCACGGGTCCAATGCTAATACAAAAATGTGTTTATTTACATCAAATTAGAAACTACTAAAATTATCAGTATTACTTCACTATGTTATATATCTTACTAATATTATAAATGTGAAACTTTGGATGGATGGATGGATGTTTGTAAGAGTTTGTAGCCTAAAAGGCTGAACGCATCTCGATGAAATTTGGCATAGATGTAGAGGGTCGCCTTTAAGAACACATAGGCTATTTTTTTTGTTTTTATTAAAACAACGCGGATGAAGTCGCGGGCAACAGCTAGTGTATACATATACACCTTCTTCTTGAATCACTATATTAAAAACTGCATCATAATTCAGCGTAGTTTTAAAGATCTAAACATATATATACGGTAAGAGATTGTTTTATACTATGTAGTGATGGGTATTCGTTGATTCAGCATCTAGATTCAAGGTCATTTAAAAGCACCATGTTCTCAATATAGCTCTTTTGTTCAACATTCTTTTAAAGCAGTTTTGGTTGCGATTGTACATTTTAAATTTACATAACTTTAATCCATTTTATAAAGCTTATATCTTTTTTGTTACGTAATGAATTTTCCTTGTCTATACAATTATAAAGATGAATGATTTGTATTTTTGTATATATTGAAATAACTCAAAAACTACTGGGTCAATTTTAAAAATTGCTTCACCGTTAGAAAGGTAATTTATCTGTGAATAACATAGGCTATATTTTTAACGTCACGCGCGCGAAGTCGCAAGCAATAGCTAGTATAAAATAATAGTTACAATTGAAGAAATATAAAGAAGCAGTTAGTCAAATATATCAAATATAAATGTTTTAAATTGAAGGCTAAATATAGAAGTAATTTTTGGTCAAATCTATTTTAGAAATCCCGAGATTAAAAAAGTTCAAACGTTGCCAGACGCAACATCGAAAATACTTCATTAAAAAGTTAGGTTATCTTTTATCGCAGGGGCGGATTCATATTTGTTATTTAGGAAGGGAAGGCAACTAATCTATCGCACAACTGTTTAGTCTCGCTTTAATTTCTGTAAGCTTATATGGAGGTGACACTACTCGATTTTTAGTTGCAACTAAACAGTAGAATTGGCTCCGAAACAATCGACAATCGCACAACAGTAGTACCCAAAGGTCTTTTATATCTATTACTAGCTGTTCTCATGCGACTTCATCCGCATAAAATTATAAATATTTCATTTTATTGTTCACATTTGTCAAATTATCAATTTCAAATGTCAAAATGACATGACATGATGACAACCTTGCTTCCTTGATGTTGGCAACAACTTATGGTCCCTTTCCCACAGTAGGGATTTTATCCAAAATATTTACCCCTAAGTTTAATGGCGTGAAAATCTATACCTCGAAGCATGACATAAGTGTAGGGCTTCTTTTTTAAAAAGAATTATTCAAAAATATGCTGTAATTGCTGACATGTTAGGCAACAAAGAAGTATGTGTTTACGCTTTATTATATTAGTTCGAGTCACAAAGACAAAAAATGAAATAGGAATAAAAAACTAAGGGCTGTATTATCTATGTATGGAAGTTATACACAATTGTCAATACCTAATGAAGATATTTTTTTTTTATCTAAAATGTTTGTATAATCCTATTAAAAAAACCTTTTACAAAGGCTATTTTTAGGTTAACAGTAAGGTTAAATTAGTATTCAATTAAAAATCCTTCAAATTTATTTCCAATCGAACCTTGGACTGAACGATTAGCTTATCTCTACTGACGACATTGATATATTTTCCACTTATGGTCGGTTTCCCAGGTACTTTTAACCATTCGTTAATTTGATTTGAATTAAATTAAAAAGAACTCAAACAGTTTTCATTCAAAATTGGACCACACATTGATAAGCATTCTCTTAGAAGTCGACGTCAGACACGTCAGTGGCGGCGGATTACTGTGAACTACATTGCGTTTAA